ATACATACTCATTCGCTTGTCGTTGATTGACAAAATCTTTTGAGTTCAGTATTTCAGATGTAAGTAAAGACAATAATATAGCGTGGGTATAACTCAATAGTTTTTGTACATCTATGTTATAGGAAAAATTGAACTTAAGGCATCTTTGGTCTCTTATAGAGTGCTCAGACAAAGTTCATTTCCACCTAGACAAAATGAATTCTCATTGTAACAATATCTCTTTATACCCATCAAAAGTGAGTTTATTTGAGCTTTACAGAGAGAGAGAGAGAGAGTATTTTCGAATCAAATCAGTTATTAATAGTTCTGTCTATAGTAGTAACTGGAACCAAACAACAATTGACTTGCCTTCTTCTATAGTTGATAATGTTGCACATGAACAACTTGATGAACGTTTAAAAAAAAGCATACTTATACGTTAAACTTCAAATTTCGAGAAAAACTATATTTGTTCATCTGCTGAGCAAGTAAATCATCAATGTTTTACGAAATAACCAAATGCTCCGACAAAAAGAATTTCGTTCGTTTTGTTTAATGGTTTAGACAGATATTGGTGCTTCAACTTTTCAATAATATTCAACTGTGACGTCATCTCTCAGGAATCGAACTCATTCTATTATATAAAAACATGTACGAAGTGTATGAAACAACTAACACAATAGACTACCCATAGCGATCAAGACAAATGCCCATAACACATTGCAGCAAATCACACCTTTGTCAATCGCTCTTTGTTACAAAAATTCATCGATTAATGTTCAGCTTGTCAAACTTGCAGAATTTTCTATATTCTGGACAATTGCAAATAGAGTAAATGTTCCTAATAACGACATTAAAAAAATAACATATCTTGATTGATTCGGTTCACAACTATTTTACACTCGATTGAACATATTTTTACACATGTATAATCCTGGAAGTGTCCTCTTGCAAATGCTGTAACAACCACTTTTCGTTGAAATTTAGTGGCAGAGAAATCAGTGGTCTACAATAATAATCTGCTTCTATTGCTAAGAGAGTTCATTTTCCCAATAACGACAGTCAGCTAATTTTGAACCCTAATAACAACACTAACATTATTCAAGCTAAAACACACTATTTGGAAAAAGAAAGGTTTTTCATGATTTTCATTCAGAAAACAAGCAAATGTTTCGTTAGCATTTTTGTAGAGCGTATCAAACTCTATCTAAATCCGAGAGCTCATGAGAAAAACATTCTGATTTAATACGATATAACAATTAAAGAAAAGACCTCCACTACTGATAAAACAAAAAGTGACTGTAATAACAACACTAAGCTAATTTTTGATCCTAATTACAACACAGCTAAGCTTTGGCCTTAATCATGATGCCCATCTATTTTTGAACCCTGATAACAACTCTAAGCTGTTTTTTGACTTTAATCATGGTACCGAGCTATTTGTTCATCCGAAAAACAGCACTCAGCCAGCTTTTCACTGCGATACAGATGCATCATTGTGAATACAGTTGAGAATCTATCCATATACATCTATTTATAACCCTTGCATACAATTCCTAACGAACTTGGTTACCAACTTTGTAGGTCGTATTCATATCATTTCCTGTTCTTATATTCTTTTGAAGATAAAGTTAATAAGATCAAACAGATCTACATACTTAGATTTTTTTTGCGTAATGAGGGTAGAATTTATCAAATGACAGAATAGATGATAATCTGTTATGGGACGCGATCATTTATAAACATTAAGGTTTTTTAGAATGATTTCATTAATGTTAAAACATATTGTTTTATGTACGGCATGTATATTAATAAAAGGCAAGTAGTTTTATAAACGATTGAGAATAAAATGATTCGAATAAGATCAACAAAGTTGCTAGTTGACTTTGTCGCGAATTGTATGCAAGAGTTATAAATAGATGTATTACTTATGGATAGATTCTCTTAAACTGTATTTGTAATGATGCATCTCTGTTGTAGTGAAAAGCTGGTCGAGTGCTTTTTCTCAGATGAACAAATAGCTCCATATCATGATTAAAGTCAAAAATTAGCTTAGTGTTGTTATTAAGATCATTTTTTGTTTTATCAATACTGGATGTCTTTTCTTCAATTGTTGTATCGTATTAAATTAGAGCTCTTTTCTCATGAACTCTTGGATTTAGACAGAGTTTGACATGCTCGACAAAGATGGCACCGAGACCTTTGCTTGTTTTCTGAATGAAAATTGTAAAAAATCTTCTTTTTTTCTTAAAGAGGACCTTTTTGCTTGAATTTGCTACAGTTCTGTTATTAGAGTCCAAAAATAGCTGACTATTGTTATTAGAGAACCTGTCCCTAATGAAACAGATGCAGTTGATTATCGTAGATCGCTGATTTCTTCACCGTTACATTTCAGAGAAAGGTGATTGTTTCACCTTTTGAAAGAGGACATTCGCAGAATTATGCAAATGTAAAAATATATTCAATCGGATGTGATATGGCTGTGCACCAAGTCCAACAAAATAAGACAAACTATTGTTGTTGTTATTAGGGACACTCTCTCTATGATTTTAAGTATAGACAGCTTTGTACTCTTTCATTGTGTCGTTCAATCGCTATGCATTATCCAATAAAGTTTAGCCTTTTTCCATTATGCCCATTGTGCAAAATACTTTTTGATTCGTCTGTTGACGAGTCTCGAGAATTTATTTGCACAGAATTTGCATTATTGGAGTTTCGGATAATCCGGACTATTATGAAACGAGTTTCCAATTAAAAACAAAACTGTACTGATGACTAATGAGATTCAAATGTAGACATGATTATTTATTTCTCTTTTGTCTTTACGACAACGAGATAGACAATTAACGTTATTCACATCGAAATGAAAACTTTTATTAATAATCAATGTCGTAAAACGACAAAATATCTTTCATCTGGCTTTTATATTCACCTCATTCTTGATAGAATGTATCATTATACCTTGGATCTTTCAACATAGACATGATTTTTGTAAACTAGATCACAAGCTTAACAAAAATATCACATGTATGTAAATCGCACATACGTAATCATTGACATCGACGATAATGATTTACATAGATATAAAAAATAACTATTTTTTATTATGCTCTAAGCAACATGTTTGATCGAGCGTATGTCAAAAGAAAACTATATTTTTCTCTATTCATCTTTTTGTAAATTGGATGAGAAATAATTCAACCAAGTACTTCAACGAGAATGAAAAGCATGAATAATTCACGTTATTCATGTAGTTTCTTCATTAGAAAAAGAATAAACAATGAGTTATCGTATTGCTTTATGATTTGTTATTGTCTGTTATCAAGTTCTTGATCATTTCTCAATTGGTGTTCTAGTTCTTTTCATGTCAAAATATCATTGAGAAACATAGTTGGCAGCATGAATTTGCTATCGATGATAATGAAATATTCGATATATAGTTAAATGGTATATGAGAGGAAATATGTTAAAAATTTCCTCGAAATTTCGATATCAACCACTCGAGAACTACACTTGTACTCGTAATGCCTATTAGAGTAACGATCTGTTGTCGCATCAACATAATAGTGTCCATAATATGTATGTTACTTTTATTATCAAAATCTGTGGTTTTAATTCACAATCTAATTCAACTTGAGTCAGAAATATAATTTTAAAATATCTTACATGAATAGCAAACTTAAAATAATTCTTCTTTCAAATAGCATAGTACAAGAACTATTATAAATAACATTGCATATTTTGAAAGAAATCTAAGAAGAAAAGCTAATCATAAAGATTATCGATCCTTTTCAGACCTTTTAAAGAATAGGTCATTTAACAATCTGATATATTCAGCACCAATTTTGATAGACTCAAATAGATCGAACTAAAAATTTCTTTTTCAGGCACTAGACACGGTTTGGGATGAATATCTTTATATTTTTTATCGTTCGAACAAAGAAACTAAAATATCAATAGTATGCTCTAAAATGCATAGGTTTTTGTCAGAACTACCAAAAATCAGCCGAACAATATTTTTTGGACAAAAGAAAACAATTAACCATCTCAAATGGCGTATGATACATGAAAAAACCATTCAGCTCAACCGAATGTACTAGACTAGAGAAACGGAGACATTTCTACATTTATATTGTATAAAATAGTTGATTGAAGAAAAAACATGACACAGTGTACAATTGCCGCTATTTCCGTTGTATGACTTTGATTTGTTTAATGTTTAAAGACAATTTTTGAATGTTAGAAGGTACTCACCAGATAGATACTACTTCAGATTATACAACGATTACAATAAAACAAAAACTTTAGATCACAAAAATGACCGTGAGAAGGTACACGTTTCATGAACAACATTTTGTCAAATAATTTGAGTTTGAGAAGTGGTTAAATGAATTGATGTCAACCATTAGTTTTTGTATTGAAGGATAATATGAAGAAAAACTAATTAACTAATGTTAAAATCTTTCAATAAGCTTCAATATATCTAAAGAGTATATTTTATAATTTCAAGAACTATGTATCACGTAAATCTACTACAAAAGTTATTTCAAAATTCAAGACATTGTTAAAGATTTCAAATACATGAACTTTCAACCAACTTATGACTGATTAATAATTAAGTATAACTTCATTATATTTCAATTTTTATTTATATATTTATAAGAAAACATGTATATTATTTTGACCTTGAACTCGCATCAATATGTCTTTTAAGTGAATAGGATGAATCGATTAGACAATACGAGCCATTAAGGCATATATTTATTCTTTTTATGTTTGACAAAACGGTAATGTGAATATCGAAAAATCCTTCATGCATGGTTATAATAAAAAACAACTAGTAAACCACATACAAATCATCTACTACTTTCTACGCCATCCTTGTCCGACGTTGACATTATGATTAGATATTTGATGAAAAATGCACAATAAGGTAAACAAGAAGATTTTGGCGTGTTCGTTTTTATATGATATAAATATACGTTGGTTTTTACATAAACACAAACCATACCTAACAAACAATGCTTCGATTTGCAATATTACTTATATGTATTTTAGCACCATTGACTGTTTCAAAATCCATAAAAAAACCGAGATGTGGCGGATTATGTCGTATATATTGTCAATATGGTAATGTGCTAGATAAAAGAGGTTGTCCAACATGCCAGTGCAAGCCAAGTCCTTGTGGAAATGGCCAAGCTCCATTACCAGATTACTTCTGTGGTCGTGGTCTTAATCGTACAGATTGTCCATCGAATTATACATGTGTAATTGCACCTAATGATAGTTATGCTGTTTGTTGTCCTTCTAATGAACAATCTGGAACAAAACCAGGTTCATGTCCACCACCGCCCCAACTGCCAGGCAATTGTATTGCTAAATGTACAACTGATATTGATTGTGAAGGAAACTTCAAATGTTGTGGTAGTTGTCCTCGTCAATGTGTTAAACCATTACATTGAAAAACTGTTATAGATAGTTTGAACAAGGAAGAAAAGAAACCTGCAAAAAGTTTTCATATCTATTTTTATGTATGCTAATAAAATACAATAAAAACAAATAAATATTATAATGTGCAAAGTAAACATCAAAACGACTCTATTTTCTTTCTATATAAATTATATTAGATAGAAATATCGATTTATATGAATATTATTTCTATGTTCTACCTATATAGTTTTCATGATTAATAGATTTATAGTCATTTAAATTAATCTGCATTGCGTTCCGTACATATTATAAAAAATCTTTTCAATCACTCTCTCTTCGTTTTTTTTTGAATAATTTTATTAAATCCTGAAATTGTTTATGTTCACTACGGTGCAGTATGAACACTGGTTTATAAGAATTTCCATTGAAAAATGATTGTATTCACATTTATTTTCATCTTATATGTTATCATAGTAGTCTCTATACTAAAGGTTAATTCTTTATTCAAAGAAAATGATAAATGTGATGATACTGAAGTTGCGTTGGTTAGTTGTTTCTGTGAGCTTGGTATTAACAACAAAGAAATGTAGAAATGATAGCGTGAACGATGAAAAAATCACGCTCATGTCTATCATGATCACCAGCTACGGTTGGCACATGTATTAATCCATAGTATTTAGTCAGTTTGTCTTTCGAAGTATCTTGAATGTTATGGTAATTGTCTTTGTGTCAATGCTGGAGAGATCTTTTTTTTATTAGTAAAAATAAAGAAACCATTTCTTTTTTTGAAACATAGAATACATGTTTAGAAGTTGATGAAGAAACTAGCAAACGTTAAATGATAAAAAAAAAGTGTCTTACATATTTGATGAGATTTATTTTGTAAAACAACAAGTTCTTCGAATATGATTGATTATAAAGTCTACGTTGCTTTATTAAATATACTTGGCTCAGTGTTCAACAAAGGGTTCATCGATGAAAGAAGTGTAGGTAAAAGTCATACTTTTTTGCCTCTCACCTCCTTATTGCCGAATTTCATCAATCCTCTTCTGAACGCCCAGTATAAACAGCTTTCAGCACGTGCCTGCTAATTCACATGTACTGATTTCTTTTCATTAGATGAATATGTCAAAAATAGAAAAGAGTATTTAAAAAAAGACACAGTATATATTTCATGAATCAGAGATGTAATTATTACCAGCATAGATTTCAAACCAGCCGTTCTGTTGATATCTGGCCATTGCCAGTGTGTCTTATTAATTTTTTACTCTTAGTATCTCATAGAGGATGTGTATTGAAACTTTATTGACAGTTGAGTATGTCAAGCATTATTATCTACAGATTCAACAGTTCGACAACTCCTTAGTTTAGTATTGGTTTGGGTTTCAGGCTGGTTCCATCTTTCTTATAAACAACGCACTAAAATCTAACCTATTAGAAAGTTTTTGTTTTTGAAATAAATGCTATTTTAATTAGCAGTCAAGAATAAAAACAAAAAAAAATGAAGTTCCATACAAATGACATTCAAAAATCTGATAAAGCTCATATGACTCCTTCGGAAAATAACAAGTTGTCGATGTAATCGAGAATTTTCTAAAAAATTGTGTGATAATATTCATATCAAGTGTTTGAATGTTCATAAATATTTGACCGTCATTGTTTCCAGATTTGAGGCAGCCATTCCTCTTTAATTGAACCTACTGTATGAATGACCCGACAAACGTTTTGATTTCTAATCATCGAAATTTCATCATTTATTATCCAACACATAACATCACATTCTACTATATTGAATAAAACTGAAAAGTTCATACTCTTCTTTTCAGACTCGATCCATGTTCTAAATACATCAACAAATCTCATTATAATATAAGTTCTTCTTCTGCTCAAAATGTCATGAATTTAATGTAATAATAAGTTACACATAGAAATCAAAGCATTCAACACTTTCACTTATTATTTCAATTCGTATTCAATATATAAGTTCTTAACTTGGCAAATCAATTAAATCCTCTTAGAAAACATTCTAACAATCTATTGATACTATCATATAACAACTATCCACAATGTATCTATCTAAACAAGAATATATATTTTTTTAATGATTAATTTTTCAAAAGTTAGATTTACAAGAAAATAAATTCATCATAGTATCATCATTGCATAACTTGATTCTTTGATTGTTGGTTTACAATATATGAGAATGATTTTTTGTCGCTTTCAAAATTCATAGCTCTTCACATATATGAACAATATTATTGTACAAGAAATTTTTCGAAGCAGAAACAAAACGAAATACATTTTAACTGAATCTATATAGATATGTCTCTTTCTTGTGTATGGAACCAAATTTTGTTTTTCCTTTCTAGCTTGTTTAACTTATCGATCATTTTACAGTACATCGATGCTTTTCTTTCAATGTCTCTTTTTCTATTTCAAGATTCGATAAGATAAGATTGAAAACGATGAGAAGTAAAAGGTACCAATAACAGTCTCGAAAAAAAAATCGAAGATTAACTAGCTGAAAAATGACAACGACAAAAATAAATAACACAAAAAAAGAAGAAATCGAAAACATCTCATCATATTTATGCAGATCACTGCTTTTACTTCCTTCTTTTATTTCTTTCCTGTCTTCTATCTTAAGTTATCAACAATATAGTCATTTAATCAAAAATTTATATTTACGAAATAAAATAATATAGACAAAGTAGAGTAAGCAAAAACAGAAGATTCTGTATATAATCATTTTTGTATAATTGTTTTTTATCCGAAGAAATAATCTATTTATGAAAAGTATGAAGTCCATAACATAATTGTTCTTAAAGACTTTCTTTTCATTCACGTAAGGATTTATGTCACTTATATAGATTTACACATTTTATTTTATATTGACAGTTTCTAATTAAAATTTTCGGTGGTTATTTTTAGCTAAATTAATTAGTGTAAAGAAAGAAAATGAGTTTTTCTATTACTTTTTCTTGCTCTATCTAAATAAATGAGTTTGTTCTTAACATGAAGATGATGGTCAGCACTGATTGTCTCTTTGTATTAATTTGAATGATCTTGGTCGTTTTTATCGCCATTCTGTTATAGGTTCGTTGTTTATTGGATGCGCATTATCTATAAACACCAGTATTATTGGTTTGACCAAACTACGAATCGGGGATACGAAAAGTACGATTAGAAGACACGAAATGAAGCAAGATCTGCTCGCTAAAACTTGGCGACACTAGTCGGTAGGTTTACTGCATGACTATATGATAAAACAGTTCTAGGAATTGTGAATAGTCAAGTCTGAAATAGACAAGAATCACAAAGTTGTGACTCTCGAATTATATCCACATGAAATAAAAAGGTCATTGAATGTACAAGCTCACTTTAATGTTTTCACACAGATAAACAGATTGTTCTCTTCAACGAAAAAACAGAGGTCCAATAAACTTATCACTGAGGCTAATATATGACGTAGGTGAAGTTAGCACCAGATTCGAGTAAATCCCGCCAAGATTCGCCCAGAAACATGTTCCAACTGTCCCAAGGTGTGTTCCAAGTACAACTCGATGAGCTCTATCGAATGGTATATTCCGATTCCCGATAGCTCAAACCAAATCCAAGAAAATCAGAAAATACTAGATTTTCACCATAGGTCATTTTGCATCCATCTACTAAAACCCGCCAAGATTCGCTCAGAAGCATGTTCCAAGTGTTCCATTCGTGTTCCGAGTACAACTTGACGCGGTCTATCGAATGGCTTGTTCAGATTTTTCATAACTCAAACTGAGTCTGAGAAAATTTGATAATACTAGAGTATCAGCACAAAAACTCTCGATTTTAGGCAGTAAATCCTGCCAAGATTCGCCGAGGAGCATGTTCCAAATGTTCCATTTATGTGCTTAGGATGGCTCACACATCTGTATACGATGGTGTATTGAGCTGTTTAATACCGCTAACCGTGTACGCAGAAATCGCAAACATGGACCCCACTATACATGACTTTGTCGCTGATACAGTAAAATCAGCTAATATCTGTGAAGGAAGATGTTTGCAGATGTCCCATTCGTGTTGAAAGGAGTGTTTAAGAGGCTCCATGCTTTCGTAGATTGCAATGGTCGAAACCATAAACTATACTGTAGATAACGCGTGAAAAACTATTAATAGGTGTCTCATATAATATGTAGCGATGATACTTATATTGTAAAATTAGCCGAAATTCATTTAGAAGTACGTTTCAAATGTTCCATTTGTGTCCTAGATACAACTTGATTTGCCCTGTCAAATGTTGTATGCATGTTTTCAATACACTGAAATGCCTTACCGAAGTCGTTTATACTGTGGACACCAACCAAATAGGTCAATGAATTGTTTTGTTGCAGGGGAAAATTCGTTGTGAAATCTATTCTAATTTTGTTTTTTCTATCATATGCAGTAAATCTTCTATTTCAACTACCCGGGCAGTCAAGCATGTCACTTTTTGTACTAATTTAGTATCAAAAAAAGTATGTCTAATTTTCTATATAACTTGTCCCCTTTGTACAGATTTTTTGCATCGAAATTTTTGATGGCAAAAAACGGCTGCTTTTTTTTCTCAAAAATAGTGAAAAACTTTTGAGCGTTTAAACGCATTAAAAAACATAAAATTAAGCGTCAAATTGTATGCAATTTTTTTGAACTATTTTCGAAAATTTTATTTTATGCGTTTATTAGTTGTATTTTGTGAATAACAGTTATCTGTGTTTCTCTTCTTGCTAGAACGGTATGGAGTTTTTTACAACATCCCAACCTCAATTCAGTACATAGTTATATTTTACTTTTGAAAGAGTACTATCCAGCTCTACTTTTAGTCTCCACCATAAATTTCTAAAGAAGACAATCCTACAAAGAGTCCTATACATTTTTATCAAATGCATTTTTAGTGATACAGTAATTTAAATTTTTTGTGTTATCTTTTCCAACTAGCTTAAAAACACATCTTCAATTATCTTAAATATTACTGACATGAAACGACATAGAACGAAGCAATGAAAGATTTAAACTGCTGCATCACTGAAAATGCATTTAAAAAAGTGTATAGACCCTTTTTTAGGTAACTATCTTCCTCAGAAATTCATGGTCGAGTCTAAAAAAAGGAGCTTGGTCGTACCCTTACAAAAGTAAAGTACAACAAAGTACTGAATTAAGGCTTGCGTGTTGTATAAAAAACTCGATACTACTAAAGAAAGAAGAAGAACAGAAAGTACGAGTATACTAATGATCTAATGGTTCGCAGTTGAATCGTTCTTAGATTGCATCTATGGAATGACCTAACGACGAAGAACCCTATCATATTATGCTCAATTTGAATACTCACAATTTTCTCAAACGTCTGAACTCCTTGTAAACAAAATTTGCCTCTTTCAAATTTAAAATTCCTTTGTAAAGCGAATCTTTATATGTAAAAAACTAAAACATGCTATCTGATCTATAGTCCGAGTAACTCTTAGATAAAAACATAACGAATTAACAACTCATTCGCAGCTATTAGAATAGGTGAGACTGACTGGAAATACCACAGTATTTTTTTTCTTCCCGTATGACGTAAGTAATTAAAAGTAATTTTTTATCCAAGTATGTTCCCTCTTCATTTTGATCTTGAAAGTGGCCTAAATAAAAAAAAAATATTTCTTTCTTTTTAAATAAATGCGTTACTATTCATTATGTCGTCCAGATAGATCTAAGCAATATTTTTATATTCGCAATATTTTTCTATTTATACTTAGTGTTCATTTTGGTCTTAAGGTAGATCTAAATGAAAAAAGAAAACAATTTTTTCTCTAAACAATTACTTACTATTTATGTTGCTATAGATAGTGATCAAAATAAAAAAGATACATAAGTTTTCTCAAGAAGTGCTTACTGTTCGTTGTATTATTGAGATTAATTTGAATAATTAAAAATAAACAATTGTTATATATAAATAGTAAATATCGATTTTCATATTGAGATTGATCTAAATGATAAAAAATAAATTTTCTAAGAAATCAATTACTGCTTATGTTGATAGAGAAAATAATCTAAATCAAAGAAAATACGTAAGTGTCGTTAAAAATATTCACCACACATTGTGTTATTGAAATCTGTCTACCTAAAACAAATAAATAAACGAATAGATTTTATCTACAATCACTAAATTTGGTTTCCACGTTGAGGTCAATCTCAACAGGAAAACTTACATTTGAATAGATTTCTGATCGTGACAAATTATCGAAAATATTTACAATACTAGGGCCCTCTATAATATATCGTTTCGTATCTAAAGAATGACTAGTGCTCGGATAGTGTGCTAAGCTCTATTGAAGTGAAAAATGGATGAACCCAGCTTTTAGCGTAGACTTCATCTAAACGTTGTGTATTTATCACTCTCAAATTTATCCTAAACTCAATTACCAGATCACGTATTAGAGCTATAAATTCATATAGTTCAAGGTGACTATGAGACTTTGACTTTGGAACAGGGTATATGTAGAACTGTAGAGGAAAAATTTCTCCATTATCTGATGTATATATATCTATATTATCAACCTCAATTGCGTTATGTTCATATGCCAGTTGGCAGCACTACACTCGCTATGTCTATAAAAGCATGTATTGAAGTTGGTACTCTCTACTCAAATATTAACAGTCTGCAATAGTTTTACTATACACGCATCACTTGATGGAGGAAGTCTTCTTCTGCAAATGTACATGTATCCCACTGTGTAGTTAATGACTACTATGAACAGTGCATCAACCCTATCAAGACAGCAATTGCTTTCCTTACAGAAATTTTCCCGGAAGTGATAAACATTCATTGCTTCTTCAAATTGGTCATACTTTCTTTCGTACACTGTTGTAAAACTTCTCAATTCAACAAATATATTTAGTGTGACTACGTACTGGTTATATGACGATTGATCCAATCTCATGTATGTTTGTTTTTAATCTTGATGAATACGTTCTCTGTTATTCATGTTCGACATGAGATCATATAAATAATAAAAAAAAAACATTAATGCTATTTCAAATTGACTTTCTTTTTTCTAAAAGTTCCCTCTAACACTGGAATAATATTCATCCATTCTCACTAAAAGAATTAAAGTCAGTTCATAGACAGCGCACAAATATTACAATGAATAGACATTGGTCTCTCCAAAAACATTCAGAGGAGAGAGAAATAAAAACTTATTTCTTCCAAAAATTTCCAAGCGACCAAGTTTTACTAGAGTACGACTAATTGATCCAGCATATACATATCCAGGACGACTCTGTACTTAGTGTATAAAAATTCATCCATCGTATCATGATTTGGTTAATTTTTATCCTGTTGATTGTATTTCCTATTATAAATATCCGTGATATGATCGATCCGGTTTAAAAATTTTTCGGTTCGGTTCCAAATATTCGGAACGAATTTCTATCCAAATATTTATTTAAATACATTTAACTTTATTCGAGTGCTCTTACATCTTTTTTTTCTTATTCTTTTCTTCTCTCTCTCTCTTTTTCTTTCCTCTCCGACCGTAATAATTTCAATAAATTATCATACTTTTCTTCTGTCCTAAATGTTAGGACATTCTAACAAAAAAACACGTTGGACGTTATCTTTATATAACATAGTCTACACTGGAGTAGATGACAGTTATTTATCTCTCTCCTTGTGTTTCATTTACTCTCTTATGTATGAAAATACATGTATAAGTAATAGAAAAAAAAAAGAAAAGATGATAATTCGAATAAAACTGGATTTCGGTTCAAGTGAACCGAAGATTTTACAAACATCAAGTTTCATTACACAGAGAGGGATTTGTAACAAACATATTCACTAAGAGTGAATAAAGAAAGTGTAGCTAATTTCTGATTTTACTCAACTACTTATTAGTTTCATTCAGTGTACCTTTTTACAGACTGCATTTCAGTATGAAGCACTCAAATATGTATATAAGTATCAATTAATTGTCATGTTGTAATAACTCTAAGCGGATAACGAAAACATTATTTTTAACGTTCAGGGAATATATAACAATGAACATTTTAATTAAGAAAATATCACTTAAATGGTATTTCGAAATAGATCGATAAGTAAAGCCTAAAAAGTCATTGAAATTGTTCATTTTGCGATGATGGGTAGATTATTTCTCTCAATTTTAGGTTCTCTTTGTTATATAAGTCTTCTAAGTTGAGAGTAGAACTGGATTTAATAAAGTAGTAAAAAATTATTATAAGATATTACTTAATTTTCTTTTAAAATGAGTGTATTGTATAAAATGTAGCCCCTATATGTATATCTGCACTGAACGACCACGACAAAAAAATAACTTGAACGGCTCTTGATTAACAGAAAAAATTGACTAACCACTGAAAATAAACTAGATTTCTATCATTCAAAATTTCTTTTACCCTGAGAACGAAAATGCTCATGTCCTTAAGATCATTTCTACTACAATTTTCTAGTTTGTTTATAGAACTATCAATGGCATTATAAGCATCTCTTCAATAAAGAATTTTAGGAGAATATTCTTAGAAAAAAATAATAGTTTTGAAACTTTTTTTTTCTCCTTGATTTTTAATCGGTTCAGCTCTGTTTAAAACTTTTTCGGTTCGGTTCTAAAAAAAGAAGAACCTGTACCACCACTGATACATATCTGATATATTATTATTTAGATAGCTTGTAACTAGCATTTCGATTGTTTTGCATTCTTTTCTTTTATAATCAACAATGTCAAAAGTTTTTTCCTGGATCAGGATCAATAGTGTAATTGTAAATGGTTTTCCAACTGTCTAAGGCTGACTAAATAATACTTAATTAACTAGCACTGAATGGGTGAAACATAATGTCTGATCTTTGGTATTTTTTGTTAATAAGAATATGCAAAACATTTGACATTCCTTCTATATTTTTGGTTTACTTTTAAGAAAATTTACAATTTAGATTGTTTAGCTTTCCAATGAAAATTTACGGAAGAGACACCTGTTATTTATCAATCAAAAACATCGATTAGCTACTTATGTTAATCCGTTAAACAATTTGAAGAACAGCATATTCATCTTTCTAACTCATGGTTATGCACATGATTTTTAAGCAAAAAGACTAATCGTTTGAATCTGAGGTACCCTTTACATGAGTACCAAGGCTAGAACGCAATATTCAGTGAATGGAGATAAATTTAATAAGGAGTTGAGTTTTCACTGAGTGCTTTTGAGCAATTTTTTTTTCAATGAAATGTTTTAGACTTGTTGAAATGTAGTAATGCATTGTCAATTAATATAATGTTCAAGCTTCTGCATATCATACCTTGAAGAAATATTAATTTCAGATAACAAAAGTTTTTCTGCAGTTCTGTTGATTTTTTAGAGGAAATGTGCAGATAAAACAGATTTGTTTAAAATTTTATTGGCTTCTCTAGCATATTGAGCTTGTGCCGTCCTTGAATTGATTGCATATTCATGTGAAAATAGTTGCTCAGAAAAAATATTGATAAGAAAAATTGTGTCTCATTTGCACCCAAAATTTTGAATTTTTCAGGTATATTGGGCGTTTTTTGTTAGAAATGACGTTTTAACGACTTTTATGCATTAATTTAACGGAATTGAGCAGAAAAACGCATAAAAAAAGTGGAAAAAAATGAAAATGTTGAAAAATTCGACGAAAACACGAGTTTTTGTGCGTTTTTTGAAACAAACGAAAAACACGCACAAATTTCGACTAAAAGTCGACATTTTAGTTCAAAAAACGTGAAAAATCCACATGTCTGTCTGCTTGGGTTATCACTCAATTTAGTATTTTTGTTAAAAATTTTCAAAATAATCATCTAATAACAACACTTTTTTTTTCTTCATGAAACTAAGAAGAGTGGTGTTCAGAATATATCAATTGAAGGTTAACATTAAAAACTGCTCAATATCTTTGTGTCATTTGATATCATTAATAATCCATACGTATAAAAAAACAACGTACTACGTCATCACATGTTGTCTTACTCATTTCTTATCTGACAATCTATGACCCCCTATGCTTTTGATTAATACAATGTGCAAGCTTACTTGACAGTTAAAATCATCAGTTATCTTATTATTTAATCAGTTTAAATTGTAATTAACAAGAATAAAAATAATCTACGTCACATGAATCAACGATCTATCGATAAAAACAAGACGCTTATTTTTTCATCGAAGATTGTAATACAAAAGCCTATCGGATTTTTTTCTTTTGAAGTTGCTGGATTTTCTTTGAAAATCCGAATTTTTTTTCATATTATATACTCGGAAAGCATTATGATTTTGATCATATCAATTGAAACAATTGATTTTCAGCTGTCATTTGAAAAATGTCTATTCAAAATTGTGCTTGAGCAATGATCTCTTATATGAAAATGTCTGTCACTCTTAGCAATTATTTTCTAAATATAATAATAATGAAACATGCAGAGAGGATATGAGCCATCTATTTAATTTTCATTCATCTCTAAACAATCTTATATTATAGTTGTAGATTTATGTTAAAACAAGAAATTATTTTGTTTTGTTTTTCTTTTTGCTCTACTTTTTATTCGATTTGGTATCATAAGGTTGAAAATTTATTTTCGTGATAAATAACAATAAAAGCTATTTTTATTTCAGGAATGATCTCTTCCGAATCATTCACAATAATCTTATCAAAGTTTCATGTCATTCTATTGCAATATATTTGAGTAGTAGTCATGAAAAAGAAAATGTTGCGATGAAAAATCCTAGATAATTTTAATTCTGCTTTGTTTTGGCTTATATTTTAAAATTCTCGAATGTTTTATATATATATATTGGACCATGCACTGCAAATTTGTTTGTTTGTTTTACATTCATCGATATAAACCCATTAATTGCATAAACCAATCGTAACAGCCAATAATAATGTAGGGTTTTTGTAATACTCATCTCTAAGAATGAAACTTTTATCATCGACATTGATGTTAATCAGGAGCAAATAACGACCAAAATATATTATTATGATAAACATGTGCCAATCAAGCAGAAACAATCGATAAATCCTGAGACTCTTATTTTCGAGTATATAAAGACTAAACAAAGACATACAATTAACATTATCATTTTCTTGTTTTTCTTTATTTTATTTTTAGATATCTGTCTTCAAATTTTACAATAAAGACAAATAAAAATTAAATTATCCTTTTGTCAATGTCGAAGATGGCATAATTTACCACAGAATAAAAACAACATTTATCAACGATTATACGCTGCCACATATCGATCATTATCATCATTATTACCTCCACTTTGTTCTCAAGTTTTATTTAATGATAGTAATATACAATCACAATATATATCTCCAAAAGGTTTATCTGATCGTGTTATACCGATTGGAACATTTCCAAGCGCAATTTTAGCTCTTGAGTATTTATATGGAATATATCAGCAGAAGAATATGGTATTCAATCATTTGATTTAGTATGTATTGCTTATGATGAAAAATATTTAATTACGACATGTTGGATTAACACTAGATCCACATACAAATGAAGAACGTCAAGAAAAATAAATACGATATGTAATGTTACACAAAGATTCTGTACTGGAACATTACAACAATATTCAAGTTTCAATGATTGTCAACAATTTTTAAGAACACAAATACCTTATGGTTCATATGATAGAGCTGATCAAGGAAATGTTATTTGCCGTTTTGTTCATACATATTTTGTACCTTTATTACCATCTATACATTGTCCACATGTGGGTCCAACTGGAGGAGGAGCATGTACTGATAAAACAATCGACTTTTATTATAATCAAACAAATTTTCTGGCTTGTGCTCATAAACAATAATAATCAAATAAAATCATGTTCTTTTTTTTTCAATTTAAAGTTTAAATAATAATTTGATATCATTCATAAATAATTACGCGAAAACTAAAATGTATGAAGTCATAAGAAGGATGTAAAACTGATTTGGTAATTCGACTTGATAACTGTACTTCTTTATTAACTTAACATAATCTAATTTCAATATATTTATTTATCAGTTGATCAGAATTTTCTACAAAGTATTTGTTGAGAAATAACTATGTGGAAAACAAATGTTATAGATTCATAAAAACTGAGAACAAAATTACATTATTCAAATTTCTATACGAGTTATTTTTCATCATTATATAATCATAGAAATCACAATAGTATAAGCAATGGTCATATCATAATACAAAATAATTGAAAGTTTCAATCATCTTTAAGAAAGTACAGTTGACAGTAGTGTCTTATTATTTTGTTTAATTTATTTTTGTTTCATTGAATGTTTTATCTTTTTTACTGAAAGTTTAAAAGAATTTGTTGAGGTAAAACTTTCTAAAAATAAAAAAAAAATGTGGCTTGTTAATGAAAGTGAAGAAGTTACCATAACTAAGTTCGACCTTACTTGAAAATCTTATAAGATAGTTTATTTATTTGTAATTCAAAAAAAGAATCTTAACAAGATATATCTTCAATTTTACACAACGAATTTGTTCTCTGAGACTTTATGAACGAGTTATACGTTGCATTCTTATTTCAATTCTCACTACATGAAATAGTGAAGTGAATAAAAAATCATATTGTAGAGTGTGTTTTACTGTATCTTTTCATCATAAAGACAAATTTTACAAGTATTTATTTCACAAAGAAATTTTTAATATTCAAATAATGTGTACATGTTCTTTATTGTGTTTTCTGGATGTTTTTGTTTTTTGTTAACAAGTAAAAAGCTTCTCGTGAATTTTCAGCTACAATACTGAGTTTTAATGAGTAGTTTCGTCAAGAATAGAAAACAAGTTATAAGCATAGTTTCTTCTTTTTGCATTACAAGAATTCTTGATAGAATAATGTAAACAAATCTTTTTATGAAGTCGGTGCTAGTAGCATATCTAGAAATACGAATGATAACAAGAAAGACAAATACAACGATCAATGACAACAACAACTAAAAATTGATACAGAAACCGTTTCGAATTATTTCGGAGCAAAACTTTTATCGTTGACCCATTGAAAAAGATCCCTAAATATGATTCACTATCAAGTGGTGATAGTACAACATCAACAATTTATTAATATGCGTTGAAGATTCTTATTTAAAATAAATATGTTCTAAAAACTCTGAATATCAGTCCTTAAAATTAGAATAACCATTATGAAAACAGTAATCTATTTCTTTGGAACTATTATCTATACCTGATAAATCATGACAAATAATAACTATCAATTCAACATCAATATCTTTATCATAAAGACTATTATTATCAATCAAGTGATATTTCGAAAAGAATTGATGTATGAAAACAAATATATGTTCGAAAATATTTTACAATAAAGCTCGTTTAGTAATTAATTAATGTAGAGCTTCATTAAAAACTCAAACATGTACATGTCTTGTAACGTAATTTAACATCAGATATACACAATATCTAGATTGTTGTTTACAAATTAAACTAACTCTTTGGGAGGGTGGAACGTGTTCCTGGTATGTGAGTGCTCCTCCTTTTCCTCGTTTTCCTCCTTTTTTTGAAAAAGGCTCCTCCCCCTCCTCCATGTGTTGATCCATTCCTCCTTTTCCTCCTTTTTTGATATTTTCGTTACGAAAGCCACTAATGATAGTACTTTTGTAACACTCTTCGTAGGTTTTGTAATATGGTGGTCTTCATAATGATCCTGGACTGAAATATTTCCGTAGATTCCTATCCGATTCGATGAGATTCGAATGAATATTCTCCAATTTTCACAAAAACTCCGAATTAAACTATATTCAAGAGGACATAGTGCAAAAAACTGACTCCTCAAGATTATAATGTGAATAAAAATTTATTTATAATTACAAAGAACATAAATTATATACCAAGAGTAACAGTAGTAAATGTGCAATATATACAATATTTTAAAAATAATTTTACACAATCCTACAATTCAAAAAGTTATGCTAAATAATAGTTGTTCTTTTCTACCTATATCGAACCATTTCTTTATCATATATTTGA